GGAGATGAGAGTAGGGTGTGTTTTCAGAACCAATAATCATCCTCTATCACCATGGAATAGAAAGTACTTTGGTGCTTTGGGCTATTGTAGAGGCACAAAAGTCAACAGACACTGTGTTTTATTGAAATCAGTAAAGCACAAGATCTTAACAACAGGCAGAAATCCCATAAGACTTTGGCCAACGCCCCCAAGATCTGGCAAGCCTATCTTTAACTGTTAATTTGCCATGAGAAATTGAGAAGACTGGCCCACCACTCTTTTTAGGAGTGATTGAAAAATCTGATCTTTGTGAATTCCGATGCAGTTGTAAGGCACTCCTCACACTACCCTGTTTCCCCCAAAATAAGTCAGGGTCTTATATTAATTTTTGCTCCAAAAATGCATTGGGGCTTATTTTCAGGGGATGTTTTATTTTTTCATGTACAACAATCTACATTTATTCAAATACAGTCATGTCATCATCTTCTGGAACACCATCATAACTCTCCAAACCTCAAATTCCGGCCTGAATTTCCTGTGACTCTCTCCAAGGAGTAGGGAGTAGTGGTGGTGGTGATGTTGGCGATAAGGGCCCCAACATGAACCGGCCTCATCCCCCTTCCGCTGCAGGACCAGATGGTTTCTGTCTCATTTCCGGAATGCACTTGCTTGTTGAGGTGGTAGGGGGAGGGGAAAGTATGGATCCTGCTGGCCCACACAGACAAGGTGGAGTCAATCCCAGTTGCTGTGCAATGAGTCCCTGGTGGAGGGCAGGGTTTCACTTAAACGGGTTTTATTTTCGGGGTAGGGCCTATTTTCGGGAAAACAGGGTAATATACAGATCTAAATGTAATTATCTTCCACATTTTGCTCTTCTCCAGTTTTAGTGATGATGTTCTAAATGGCGGGGGAAGAAGAAAAACTAAAATTGAAGCATTCATATTTTATTATAGAATCATTTAGAAATACATGGTTGGAATTAAAATCCATTTATAAATATGTATTTGGTGGAGGAAAAAGATGGTCAAAACACATATTTAAATGAAATATGAAATTCCATGCAGATTTTCTTTTAAAAAAGAGACTAAACAGTTAATAAGACAGAATTGTTACGTGGATAAGCAAAAATGACATGGACCAGAAACCAACTGATTAGAACACTACTAGCCAAGTTATTAACACTGCAGGTATCATTAGATACCTTGACTTTGAAACTAGCCTACCTTCAATAAAAGTCAATGAGAAAGCAGGGTAATAGTGAATGTTCTGTATTAGATAAACTTTTTATGTATTAAAACATCTCCTGATATTGAAGAGTTTTGTGATCTTGCATTGGAGCGGGCAACCTGGGTCTCATGTACCCAACCATGGATATAGGTGACGGCCTGCTTCTCGTGTAACTTTTATTCATGGAGTAACCTATGCTTGTCCCTTCTGGAACAAAACATGTGCATGCAAGCATAATCTGAATCAAGACATGTTATTGCTTAGCTGTTCTCATATCTTGAAAGCCTTTGAACTGAGCCCATTCTTACATAGTTCCTAACAGATGGCTGGAATATGTATACTATTGTCTGTAGACAGTTTGAAAAGTTCTATTAATACTAAGTTCTTCTTTGCTCTACATTTCCATTGCATTGTACTCCCTCCTTGGTGAAACTTTCCATGTCTTTGCTGCTTCTCTGATTCTATTTGTTTCAGTGTGCATGAGACCTGGGAGCTTTGTATTCGTATCCCAGGGGATGCGAATATGAAGAGCAGCCCCACAGGTGCCATGGAGGTCCGTTCTCTCACCCCAGAACCAGACCGGTCCACTCACTGGGCTTCATGTGGCCCATGCATGTTGTTGTCAGTAACATCACACCAATCATGGAAATAGCCCAGCCAACACTTCCCTGCCTTCGTGTGCTGCTGACCACTCTGGTGAGGAGGCAGGATGATGCATCTCCCCACTCCGCTGTTGCACAGTGAGGCAGAGAAGGGCCATCTGGGCTACTTCCATGCTTGGTGCAATGCTATCAGTGATGGCCATGTGGGCCACACAAAGCCCGGTGAGTTCTGGGGAGGAAGGTCAAAAAGGACATTCATATTCATCTCCCCTGAGTTCTTTAAGTAACAAGGCAAGAGGTGAATCCAGAGGGGATGAATCTGTGCCCCTCCAAATATTATAGGACTATTTGTCATTGTTGGGTCTTTTCTTTAGGAGACAGGTGGGGTAAAAATATTTAAAATAAATAAACATTTGTCCATTTTTACTGGGGTTGATGGGAGATGAAGTAAAACAACATTTGGGGGACCCATAGTTTTGCCATCACAGCTTGAAGTTGACCTAGCATAGCTCCTAATTAAAAGCATGGTCTTTTGCATTACTTACTAACCGACAGGCATGCATGCCACAGATTAATTTTTCTACAGATCTATCTCTAATTGCCTAGATTACTCTATTGCAATAAGAAAGCTGGACTGAGCCAACTGGCCATGTTGTTGTTTAATCGTTAAGTCGTGTCCGACTCTTGGTGACCCCATAGATCAGAGCATGCCAGGTCCTCCTGTCTTCCACTGCCTCCCAGAGTTTGGTCAAATTCAAAGACAAGCTTTCTAAGGCCCACTTGACTTCACTCTCCAGGATGTCTGGCTCAAGGTCAGCAACCACACTATCTAGCTTGTCCGGGATATCCAAATCCTTCTGGTATAATTCCTCTGTGTATTCTTGCCACCTCTTCTTGATGTCTTCTGCTTTTGTGAGGTCCTTACCATTTTTGTCCTTTATCATGTCCATCTTTGCACAAAATGTTACTTTAATATCTCCAATTTTCTTGAACAGATATCTGGTTTTTCCCTTTCTATTATTTTCCTCTATTTCTTTTCACTGTTCATTTAAGAATCATGTGCTCATGTAAGACTCTTAAACCCCAAGGTGGCTTTTAATGTGTAGAATCATAGAATAACTGAGTTGGAAGGGGCCTATAAGGCCATCAAGTCTAACCCCCTGCTCAATACAGGAATTCAAATCAAAGCAGATTTGACAGATGTTTGCCCAGTTTTCTCTTGAATACCTTGGAGTGTTTACCACACAGTCCCTACATGTGCTCAAAGAGAGAAATACATCCTGTTAGCACTGATGAGGTTTTTTTCAATTTTTTTTTATCACTGAGAGGTGATTTCAGGTTTAAAAAATGGGACAGGGGATCTTTAAATCTCCTCTCACTTGTACACAATGGTCCCGATCCAGATCAGGGCCACACATGCTTACTGGAAAATAAGAGAAACTTACTGCATTCATAATGAGCCACCACCATGTGTCAGACCTGTTACAGCAATCAGAAGAGATGGCACCGTGGGACATCACCATCCACTGCAGTTTCCCAGCACAGAACCTACTGAAATGAAATGAAATGACACTTTATTGTGGCACTGTGAAGTGTCATTCATCACCCGCAATTCAGTGTGTTTGGCTCTCTTCCACATAGTAAGCATGATTTATCAGTAACGAAAAAATGTTCCTTCCAACTATGGATGGAAGTGTAGCCACCAAAGGAAGAACAAGATTTTTGCAGGAGATAAGAAATGGTTAATCAGAAGGATCTCGAAAGTAGCAGCCTTCCTTCTTATAGTACGCCCCACCCCTCTCTTTCTTTCTCTGTTCCTATTGACCGTGCTGTTCCCAGCACTGCAGGTGGTCCAAGTTCTCTGCTATATCTGGCCAACAGTAGAGATGCCTGAGGATTTCGGCTGGTCTGCATTGTAGGAAAACTGGAATGCAATTGTCCCTGGGTTCACACACTCCTCCAAATTTTGCAATAGAGTTTTCAGTTTCAAACTTCTACCCAAATGCATGCTAAAATTTGGGTAAAATATGTACCAAACGGTGTATATTTTTGGGAGGAGTATGCTTAAAAAAGGGAAATTGCAGAATGGAAAGATTAATTAACACATGGGAAACCAATATGGACTCAATCTAGGCCAATCTGGCCATCCCTAATGAATACTCTGCATGTTCCTTTCCATCTTATCAGGTGCTATCAAGTTCTGTGCGCTACAGATCTGCATTTCATTCATCTTGGTGGCACACGTTTATGGTAAATACAGTTTAATGGGTTATGAACGCATGCACCTTGCTATGGAAAAATGATAATGAAGTAGAGGAGGCGTTTTTTTCTATATTTCTTGCTGGCTGGCTGGCTTTTCCAAATAGCATTTGTGTGTGCTGAGCCTGATAAAGTGAAGATCCTGTTTGGCGGCCACTCCACTTTACCTAGCTGTGGCCATCTCAGAAAGAAAGTGCATGGGAATAAGGGAGGGCCTTGAGTGCTATATATAAAGCACCCAAGCTTGAAAAGGTGAGGCTAGAAAGTGGCAGCAGCAGCACTGCCCAATTTGAGCAGAGGGGGAGGAGGAGAGCTCTGGGGGGGGAGAAAGGCTTACCTCTTAGGATGCTCACCATGATTTGGGCATTACTGGTTCTCCTCTGCAGCCTCCTGCACAGCTCCGGTAAGTCTAAAAGCAAGTCCAGAATAGAATGGGGTTTAAGAAGTTTCTTTTGCTCTGTGATTGTTTAACCCAGTGTCAAAGTGAGGACTTCACAACAGGAGGCAATAAAGTATTAAAGGTTTTTAAGGTTCAGTTGATAAGTTACCTGGTGGATCGAATCTCATTTTCTTTGGTAGTCAATGACTGGAATGTCTAATAAATATTTGTTATCTTATTTGCCTTACATAAGGATTAAAAAGGAAGGAAGGAAGGAAGGAAGGAAGGAAGGAAGGAAGGAAGGAAGGAAGGAAGGAAGGAAGGAAGGAAGGAAATGAATTTATAGGGTGACAGTGCATGGACTGGAATACAAGCTATTACATAAAAATTCAAGGATCTTTCTTTTGTATTATGAAATTCTGCATTTGTGGGCCATTCCCTTTTTTTAATGCCTTGGTTCACAGTGAGCACTGTTCAGTGTTATTGCCACTGTCCAGTGACCTGTAGAATCTGCAGTGGATAACATTTTCACACCTGTGTACGATAACACCACCACAACTTGCAGTGATCCTGATGGCAGGTCTGCTCCTCAAGTCATGCGAAATATTTTCTCATGAACTTCTTTTAGGATGGAGCCCAGATGGTAGACCCATCAACAAAATGCACTTTTGATATTTAACATGTTCAACTAAACATGTTTTTCTGTAAGGCTGTAGATTCACAGATACAGATGTACCAACTACATTTATTCCCTGATGTTTTCACAAGTTGTAAAAAATTGCTGGAAGAGTTCAGAGATCTCATATTTCAATATATCAAATAGGCAGCTTCCTGTAGAAAAAGCAGAGCAATATATATATAGGGCATAAAGCTGATGGCTTGGCTATTACACTGCAGAGTCGCTGATATATGCCTCTGAACAGGGAGGTTCTGTGTTTGCAAGAGCTGTTGGCATATTGTGATCCACGATAAAAAATGGTTCTAGTCAGGTATCCTAAGTAGCCTGGCTTCAAAATTTGTATTTTCTAAATGGCTTTTTCTTATTTCTCAGAGTTCTATGTTTGCAAGAGCTGTTGACATATTGTGATCCACGATAAAAAAAATGGTTCTAGTCAGGTATCCTAGGTAGCCTGGTTTCAAAATTTGTGTTTTCTAAATGGCTTTTTCTTATTTCTCAGATCAGAACCATTTTCGTTTGTCAGACAACTTACCAGGTACGTTTTTAGAATATGTATTACTCTTTCTGCATACCAAATGTATATCTAAGATTACACTTTATTATGTGAAAAGATCTGTGTCTGTGTATCTGGTTCCAGAATTACGACATTAAATGTGATGTTATGTTTTGCCATGAGTGGTACTGATAGTTGCATTTACAAAATGACATTGAAGACTGAAGGCAAATGTATATGCAGAAGTGTAATGAATAAAATGTCTGTAATAATAATGTGCCATCAAGTCAATTTTGACTTATGGCAACCCTTTTAAGGGTTTTCTGGATAGAGAATACTCAGGTTTACAACTCCCTTCTTCTGAGGGCATCCTGGAACTGTGCAGCTTGCCCAAGGCTACACAGGCTGGCTTCACTCACACAAGGCACAGCAGGGAATCGAACTCCCATCCTTTGGCTCCACAGCCAGATACTTAAACCACTGAGCTATCGAGCCAGCTTTAAACATCAAGTAGACGTTGTCTAGAGCGGTGGGGTAAAAATCGGATAAATAAATAAATAAATAAATAAATAAATAAACAAACAAACAAACAAACAAACAAACAAACAAACAAACAAACAAACAAACAAACAAACAAACATCTATAGCCAGGACCTAATTCAGTATATGCACCAATGGAGTAAATCTATCACCAATGGAGTAACTCCCTACCTCATGCAACCTCCATGTGCTCCCAGTGCTTCTGGAAACCCTCCAGAACAGAATGACTTGCCACGCTTGGGTGAGGGAGCAAAGACAGAGAGTGTTCTGATGCGGTTGCTCAGGGACTGATCGAGGAAGAAATGTACCTCTTCTCATATCCACTGATGTAGCTTCTTCCCTTCCCCAATGTCTCTGATTGGATTCTGGCCCACTGGTCTTTTCAGTGGCTTCACAGAGATTCACTGTATATTAACACTTTCCTCGCTCTTCCTGATGGATCAACTTCCTAGCAGGTTTCAGCTCTATTAGTACTGATAACTTCTTAAGGGAACATCCATCCGCACAATCAAAATGGCAGTTTCCTACAGAGTCCTAGGATCTGCAAAGACAGAACAAGTACACAGACTTCGCATAGAACAACAACAACAACAACAACACCTCTGGGTATGGAATATCAACAAATCTGATGTCATTCCCGATACAACACTGAACTAAAAGAACCTGGCAAGGTTACTATTTTGAATGACAACCCCCCAGAATCCTGGGACTTCTAATATTAAAAAGTAACTTCTCTAATTTCTGCACCAGCCCTGGAGATAGCTACAAGCTCTGCTCAGACAGTAAACCTGAACAAGACATGGAAATTCACGGAAGAGACAGGAGAGTGTACAAGGTGACCTTACTGCTTCGGTCCCTGGTGGTGCTGCATTGAATATCAACATCTGAAAGCAGTGGGTTCTACTTGAACAAAGCCAGAGTTCTCCATGTGGTTGGGGGCTTTTTTAAAAGAAGATTCCTCAGTCCAGAGTTTGGAAATAAATATTAGTGAAGACCAGGGAAGATGACAAAGGAACTGTAGTACAGAATTTGTTGGTTTGGACAAGAGACCCCTGGAGCGTTACCATATCATAGGCATGTCTATCTTATTTAGAAACAAGCAGGACAGACACATTAGAAGCAATGCATAGTACATTAAGGAACTAGCCACACTGCTAGTTTTTATACCAGACTCCCAAAGAATGTAGTCCTCTTCACTCAGGTTGTACCTAGTGACTAAAATTAATTCATTTTGTCTAGGACTCTCCTTTTCCTTGCACTGTTCCCAGGAGGATGAATAAAAGAGGCACAGAATTCAAACCATGTGGGTTTGGAGGTGGGGACAGGCACCCCCGGATGCTATGCAGGCTAGATTGGGGCCCCTGTGGATTAGATTAGACCTGTGCGCCAGAGCTTCCCTGCTTCGTTCTAATCCAAACTAAAACTCAGGTCATAAACAGATATTAGTGGTATTTGTAATTAGAGTGCAAGTACATTAATATTGCAGAGAATTAGTTAAGGGAGCTTTTGTGTGTGTGAAATCAGATTACCTTTTTTTGTGCCTAAACTTTGAAGCACCATCACCAAACAGTGCTAGCTTAGACGTTGTCTAGAGGGGCAGGGTAAAAATTGAATGAATGAATGAATGAATGAATGAATGAATGAATGAATGAATGAATAAATAAACCTGAGGGCAGCCCCCCTTCCCATTGCATATTCTTGGAGAAGAAAGAAATTTCTGTTCTGACACTCAGACTCTCTCATTAGTTAGGGATATCCCCTTTCCAGTCACCAGCTCTTCCTAATGTCTCAGCCACCTGATTTTGCCCCACACATGAGAGTCTAACTTCCTACAAATTGTTTCTCATACCCTCCCATTAGCTCTGCACAGTGTCACATTGTGAATGTACAGGAAAGAAGTTTCTTATACTTAAAGAATACAAGCTGAGCTATTAAAGAATAGTTACTTTGGTTTATCAGCTCCTGTCTGAGTAAAACCATAGCAAGAAGTTAATGACAGCTAATCAAGACAGCACATCCCATAATCTTATAACTCCTTTTCTAGATTGTTTTCTTCTGCTTATATCTGCACCTTTAAAAAGAATTTGAGGGACATTTAACTATAGAATTTACTAATGTAACAATCATAAAATCTTATTTGTTTAGAAGTGTTACTGAGATAAATCAACAATCATTGGAAGGGATTAAGAAAAATCCCTTTTCCTCCCATTGTGCAGTTACAGAATAGAAGGTGACACTAGGTTATCTGAAAGACTCAAATATGGGAAAGTCTCAGATGTCTCCACATTTATAACAACTTACAGATATCATTGCTTTCTGAAAGTGTGACTGCTTCGGAGTCCATCCCATGTCAAGTTATAATAATCCATTTCCACATTGATGACTACATCACTCCAAATGACAACAGCATGGCTATCCCTCAAACCACTCCTCAGGGAACTCAGTCTACTGCCAATGTCTCTTAAGAGTGAACAATCACAGCAATAAAAAGCAAAACTAGGAAGCAGAAACAATAAATGTGAGATTTCTGAAGTATTGCACAATAGAGTATTTTTATATTCACTGGGCTGAGCTGCCAGGAAATATTCCCCTCCTGGCCCTATATTTGCATACAGGAATACATTAGGTAATATCAAATGCAGCCCCACAGTGATGCCTATCAAATCTATCAATGCCAAAACCACTGTTGTAGGAGGAATCCAGAAGGAAATGGACAAGCAATACTCATACTAGTCTTTCCCATTGACCGAAAGAGCCACTTTTGATACCAGGCAGGGATATGCAAATGCTTATGGGTAAGTTTAAAAGACCCATGTTGCACAAGACAAGAAATGTTGACTGTGCCTGCTGCTTCCACTTCTGCACCCCATCTTCAGGGTATTGTTCTTCTCTGTTTACACCACATTTCTCCCCACTCAGCATAGCCTCTGGTTCTATGTGGCATTCATTGGAGCACAGAGAAGATGCTAAGGGAAAGTGAGAGTGAGGTCTGCTTCTGCCAACCTAATTACACATGCTTAATCTAGATGTAACCTCTTTCATTTTCTAACAGCTCCTGGAGTAAGCTGTCAAGAACTAGCATAGTTTAAATGCAGACAATAATGAGACAGGCAGCTGTAGGGGAAAAAATCCTAAGTAATTATTTCATTTTAAGCAATACTTTCAACAATACATGTGAAAAGGTGCCCACTTCAAGTGATTTCTTACTTCTTCTCATTTAAATCTCCATCCTCCCCTCCATTACAGGTTTTCAAAGGGATGTTTCTTCAGCACAGTGGATTTTGAAAAGGCATAAGGCAGCACCAGAAAGAGGTATGTGTCTACTTATTTAGTATGGAGTTGGGACTGCTTCTTACTTGGCAGAAGTGGAGTGGTTATTGTTCTTCTGTGGCCCATTCCTGTGTGGCTGCTAATGTTGCAATGGGAGAAATCACACAACAGTAATTGACAAAAGGAAAAGATATGGCAACCTTGCTGTTAGTATTTCCTGCTGGATCTATCATCATACTACCCTGCGCAGGCGACCACACCACTCTTTAAAATGCCATAAATAAACCCAGGTTGGCACTTTAATCTACCCATGGGTTTACCCTTATTTAGTCTGCATTCTACACTAGCCCATAATTGACTTTTCTGAGTTATTTTTTATTTCTTATTCTAAGTGACATAGCGCTTCATCAATGTTGCAGACAGAAGGACTCCAGTGTCTTTTTGATGCAGCACTAGAATTCAACGGTTTGGACACCTGGCATGATTTCCCAATGGGGAAATGCAGCAGCACCTCAAACACAACACAACACAGAAGCAAGCCATCTGCACAGGGAATGCCCTTGTAGACAAACACAGGCCGTTCACACAATCAAACCAAGTCAAAAAACAGCACAATGTAGAGCAATTAAAATAAACAAGCTCTTGATAGCTTTTCAAAGAGAAACAATTCCTCAAAATTTCTCCGTAGTCAGGAAATTTTGAATCAATTTTCATCATGCTAAACCCAGAGTAATTGGAGGAGCATATTGCAATATAGGCACACCCACAATCAACACAGGCAAGGATTTTGAAGTGGCACCTATAGACAAATATTTTCATTTGAAACTGGCAATAAAGAAAGCACAGTATCTATATGGAACCATTATTGTTTAACATTTATGTTTCAGGCCACATGGTTCATACCTTTAAAGCCAAAATATTTAAGAAAGCAAAGGATTCATACAAAAAGGATTTGCCACCATGTTTAAAGCCAGAAAAGGCAATTCAGTGGGTGAAGCTAGTGGCGGTTTAATGCTGCATGTGTGTGCATGTGTGTATACTATATGTACAGATAGATATTAAAAGAATACATGCTTCCTTTAAAAAATAACATTCATTTTGTATTTTTCCCTTCCTGTAGTACCTCTGTGTTTTAACATTACCCGTTACGTACTGTTTCTTAGAAAAAACTCAAGTAAAAATTTCAATTCAGGTATTTTAAAATTATAACTGTATATATGTCAGACACTGTCTTAAAAATCTCTAAAATACATATTTGCCTCCCACTAGACAGAAGAAGTGCTGAATGGCTTGATTTGGGTGAGTATTTACTTAATTTCAGAAGACATCCTTCCTCAATCAAACAATGGTAGCAAAGAGGAAAATATGTCCTTTTCTCCTCCATGTTTTTGCTACTCAGACCAGTTTTATCACCACCTAAGACAAAGAAAAATCAGTAGATGTCATTTAGTATGCTGGTATGGCGTCACATTTGCATCATGGAAGTACAGTTGTTACCATGTGATTGCAGGATTATAAAATATGGTACCATCATGTGTACATAATGAAACCTGACCTAGACATCTTTTCTGTTTTCCAGAAACTTACACTGATGAGATGAGAAGTCTTAATGAAGCCAGTCTTCATCATACAGGTATTTCTGTGCTGCTTTGGTTTTTTAAGCAAATATCATGATAGCAGGTTCAAAGGGCAGCTATTTGTAGAGTGAAATCTACGCCATACATAAAATGTGCACTCCACAGTTCAAATTCTGCATTGAGAAATGCTGCTGAACTTTGGCTTGCCTTGGATTGGCTTGGATTGGCTTTACATCCCTGAAGTCATGAATATCATCCATTAAAACCTCTTTGATGCTTCATCTTCTTTCAAATCCCCCTTCTTTCAACTCTTTTAAACTACTTGACTTTTACTTTCTATTTAATCTTTTGTTCCATATTTTCCATCCTGATTAATACTAATATTGTCAATGTAAATCGTTGTTTTAATTGTTTTTTGATGAATAATTTGATTGTGAGCCACCCTGAGTAGACATATGTCTAGAAGGGTGGGATAAAAATCAAATAAATAAATAAATAAATAAACAAACAAACAAACAAACAAACACTTGTTCCATGACATATTTAACTGAATCCCTCCTTCATCACCATTGACTAAAGGACGCAAACATTTGTGCTCATAGTTTGTTATTTTTTGCCATCTTCAATCCTTACCTGTACTATCCTCTCCCAGCAGATAACATTTAGATTATAATCCCATTGGGACAGGAAGTAGGTCTCCTATGTTTGTTTCCTCATGGCATGTAAAGCACCAGTAATGAACTTATGTATATAACACACTCTATGACTTGCTCATTCATTTATATATTTTATTTGTTTGTTTGTTTGTTTGTTTGTTTGTTTGATTGATTGATTGATTGATTGAAATATGTATATGCAGCCTTTCTCCTAAAGGATACAAGTTGGTTTACAGGATTAAAAGAAGCAAATTTAAGCACAATAATACACGTAAATCAGTGGTTCTTAACCTTGGGTAGCCGAAGCGTTCTTGGACTGCAACTCCCAGAAGCCTTCACCCCCAGCTGTGCTGGCTGGGGGTTCTGGGAGGTGCAGGTCAAAAGCATCCGAGCAACAAAGGTTAAGAAGCACTGATCTAGACCAGTGGTTCTTAACCTTGGGTAGCCGAAGCGTTCTTGGACTGCAACTCCCAGAAGCCTTCACCCCCAGCTGTGCTGGCTGGGGGTTCTGGGAGTTGCAGTCCAAGAACGCTTCGGCTACCCAAGGTTAAGAACCGTTGGCGTAAATGATTTGCCTCCATGTTTCTTTTCTTTCAATGAGTTTCTTTCATTTCAAAAGAAACCGAGTGTGTCGAATTGTTCAGAAATTTTAAAAACCGCTTAGGAGTGGATTCAAAGGACGCATCTCTATGGGTAGAAACAGGAAAAATTCTGGTTGATGCAGATGGATATGCTTCTCTGCTGCTTTGGAGTATAGACAGCATGGGCAACGTGCAATCTACTGAATATTGTGGTAATGAGATGTCTGTAATCTGTTGCCTTTGACTATGGTGGCTAGTGCTAGTGGAAGCCAAATATAGTCCATCCCAATTTAAGATGAGAAATAAATCTGTCAAAGAGCAGTCTCAAACTGAAGTGTATGCAAGTTAGAGTGGGCAGAAGAATCTCCAGAGTCCAACAGAATCTTTTACTTTTTTCTTTTAAAGCTGTGGGCAAAGGTTCTTGCTCCACCTGGGGCAGTGGTCATTTCTCAACCTTTGACAACTACTTGTATGATTTCTCCGGGACTTGCAATTACATCCTTGCCACTGTGTGCGATGAAATCACCCCGGACTTTAACATCCAGTTTCGTCGTGGTCAGAACAAAAAAATTACAAGGATTATCATCGAGCTGGGCCCCAGTGTTATCATCATTGAAAATGGTGTCATATCAGTCAAAGATGTTGGGTAAGTATCGAGTGGAAAAGCACTTTTCATCAATTTTATTGAAGGTGCAGATTAAATCCTTTTTGAAGACAATCTTGTAAACATCATCAATGTGTTCGTAGCCTCAGGGATCAGCTGTGCCGATATGCTCGACATGGGGCTACTCCTAAAGCACTAGGAACTTGTTGCTGGTATAGAAGCTAGTATCACACTGGCTGAAATCCTGTTGGTGGAGCTATCTTCACAACAAGGACAACTGCTATGCCTTGGTCAGTCCAGGACAATGAAAATCTTTCTCATGCCACACACAGACACACAGCTTCCAAAGGCTGTCCCAGGATGAAGGATATCCCTAGGAAACCTGGAGATATTCTAAGAAGATTTTTATGAGTAGACCCATTGATTCCATGGGATTTATATAAGTGTTGACTTACCATTCAGCAATTGATTCAATGGGTCTATTCTTACCTGGGACTAGGTGTAAAATACTTGCCCAGATGTGCATTTGAATTTATATTCTGTTCTTGCAACTATATATGAGAAACTACAATGAGATCAAGGTGAATCTGAGGGAATTCACCTTTATATAATGCATTAAGCCATTGGAAGAAATGTCTCAAATCCATACATCTGGTTCCATCAGTAAGCCCCAGGAGGCAATTCCTCAGAGAGCGAGAGCCACAAACTTGACTATATAATGCATTATGTAGGAGTGAATCTATCTGATGCTTCTTTGAAGGAGCCCATAGACAATCCATATATATGAATTGGTTCCATTGGTAAGATATGCAAGATGATTCCTCAGAGTGTGAGAGAGCTGCAAATTTGAACATGGTGTGCTGACTAAGCCCCCTCTAATACATGGAGCAAATGCCATGAAACAAAAGCAACCTTTTGATTCTGAAGATGAAACTGGAATGGAAGGAAGGGATGCTTCACTAAATCCCTTATTCTTAGTGTTGACTGTCTTGACATGATGAAACATCTTGACAAGCTCTACAGCAGCTGCCTTTAACTGTGTATGTCTATATGAGTGTCTCTCTGTGTGGGTTTGTGTGTGTGTGTGTGAGAGAGAGAGAGACAGACAGACAGACAGTCAAAGTGTATTGAGTATGAGCTTGGTCAGACAGGCATTTGTCCCATTGTTTGGTGCACTGCAGAAGCAGATTTCAGTCAGTCAGTCAGACACAGTGTATTGAGTATAGGCTTGGTCAGACAGGCATTTGTTCCATTGTTTGGTGCACTGCAGAAGCAGATTGGTTTGGTGTTTTTTTTGGGGGGGGGATCACCTGAGATAATCACTAGAGTGGACCAATTTGCCCCAGAATACCCCTACCCACATCTTTCTGAGCAACTATTAGGAGCTCCTACTTTTTGGGTGTGAGTTGGTGTGTTCTAGTTTGGATGGTGTATTTTAGCTTCAAAAAAAAGAGCCATTCCCAAAGCTCCTTCTAGTGTCATTTCTGGTATTAAGGATACTGAAAAAATGAGCTCTTCCTCTGGTCCACTGTGGAGGTGCTGAGGAGGTGAAATAGTATTTTTGGCCTCTTCTAGATCATTGTTGATGTGCTGGCTCACTTAGATTAAATTTTAAAAAATGTTTGCCTTTGTGTGAAATGCTGATCCCTTAGCTGTGGACAATTTCTAGTTAGGCACTAAGCACAAAGCAAAGATTTAAAGAAAATTGATCTAAGCGGTTCAGTACACCAGCGATGGTCTAGCAGAGATGAATAATAATAATAGTTTCATTTCCTCTGACCTTCCTCATAGGAGCAGGAGAAGTGTTTAATTCATGAGTGTCCTGAAGTGGCTTGTTTAGCCACTTCACTATACGAGAAATAGGGTTGCTTGAGGTTGGTAATGCCATTTGGACATGATGATTGTATATCACTCCCTCACGCCACTCAAGCAACCCTATTTAGATTACACCAGCCCACAATAACAGGGTCAGTGCAGCTGCATCCAAAGAAGCTCTTCTTCCCCCTCTTTCCCATATTTTTACAATTTCTATAAAAATATCTCTACTCCCATTTTCTTTGAGAAGCAGAACTCGCCCAGTAAAGACAAAAGTACTGGCTATTTGTTAAGGAAGATGTCATCTCCCCTTTTAGTACTTCAGATCCTTAAAAGTGAGAGGCATTCAGTGTAACATATGTCAACTTACACAATTGTTGTCTTTTGCAAAACTAAGTCAAGGTGGACAAAGCCCAGATAATTTTGTGCAAAATGCAAGGACTCTATCAAAATCCCCAGGATATTCCTCATTAGGATAGGATCATGGTGCAGCAATTGTTTGTCCTTGCTTGCAAAGGTGAAAGAATTAAGGATTCATATGCCATATATATTTTTTCCTCTCTTCCCATGGCTGCAATAGTATAATCAGGTTACCGTACACCAGAAATGGAATTCAGATCACACCTTTTGGACACAACATCCGCCTAGTGGCCAAACTGATGGAGATTGATCTGGCTGTTTTCTGGAACAATGATGATTACCTTATGGTAAGAAAAATCCTCGGTTGTTTTTTTTCCCCCTCTCTCAATCACATTTTTGAAATACTAAGAAAAATTCTACAAGCATGTTGCTTTCCATGTGTTCTCTGCTTTGCTTAAAAGATTGTACCATGGCAAATAACATAGTACTCTACTAGTACTAAAAAAAAAAAACCCTAGTTCTTTATACATGAGAGATTTGGTATTCTGCCAACCTGGTGAAAGATGAAAAGAATCAAAAGAAATGTAGAAGAGGGCACTGATGTTCAACCCCCTCAGGAATGCATCACTATCCAGAGACTGAGAAGCAAGTTTGTGGACCTTAGTAGCTAGCATGACCTTCCTTTGGAAAGGCAGACGATCCCATAAATAAACCAGCAGAAGTAACAATCACAGGTTGTCCATTCCTAGTACCACTTCATAGTAAGTATAAGGAGATGAAAGTAGAAAACTAATATGTTAGAAAAGGTTGCATATAACAGTCTAGTATGGAACATGTCCCAAATATAGGGATGGACAATACAGTATAAGGATATCACTTCCATCTTCTTCATGTTTCAGTTGTTGTAAATACTGGCAACTTCTAACGAGTAACAAAAGAAACACATTTCTCACACAAATTGAGGTCATCATTGGTGTATAGTTCCTGTCCATACCATGAGATGACTCTCTCTTCTTGCAGTTATAGCAAAATGTAGGATAATTAGATATTGCAATGTTTGGCTAAATGTATAGTTGAAGTATGCAGATGACAAACTCCATTCCTGATTAGATCTGCCATTTGTTTTCACCCAAAGAAAGGCTGATTGGAAGAGAACATTTATTTCCTTCCAATGACAAATTCCAGAGAGGGGAACCTGTGTCGGCTTGTTTAAGCAGAACAAAAAAAGGAGTCTAGTGGTGGCAACTTAAGGATCAGCAGATTTATTGTGGCATAAATCTGTTAGGTCTTTAAGGTGCAACAACAAAACTCCTTAAAACAAAAACAAAAAAATCATCAAATTGAGGCTAGATCCACTATAAGTAATTCAACATGGGTCACTCTGACCTGGATTGCATAGTTCAGAGACCTTTTGATGAGCATGCTGCTATGCTAGTTGTTGCCAGCATTAAACCAAGCATGCATTCCACTGGTGAGCATGGCATAACACTGCATAATCACGTTGTGCTTGCAGAAAAATATGAAAATAAATTGTATCAGGATATTACTATGTATTTTATTTTCTTAGCATTTTTTTTCCTTTTTAGGTTCTGATTGAGGAAAAATACATGGGAAGAACGTGTGGATTGTGTGGAAACTTTGATGGCCAAGAACTGAATGAGTTTCTGACTGAAGGTGAAGCTTTGTCTATATATAAATAAATAGCACAGCAACTACTAGCAAAATTTAGGTTTCACAACAGCTGGAAAAAACTCTACATTAAGTCATTTTAAAATCTATCTCATTTGCTAACCTTCTATTTTGGCTCTTAAAATCAGTTAGACTGTGTGATGATCATCCTACAATTTTAGACAGAGCTTGAAAAAATTACTGCTTGGCCTGCAACTGTCAGAAGCCCTTGGCATGTTAGATGTCTCAGGCAGCCATAGTCCAAGAAAGTAACTTTTCCAAGGTTTGACTTCGATTACATTTGGACAGTGCTCACATAGAGCCAGAAGATGCTACATTATATTCCACAATATGCTGTGATATAACAGTAAATATGAAAAGTTTTCTGTTGTGATATAATAGAGAATTTGAAACCATTGACAATTTCTGCTTCTCGCACTACACTTATCCAGATGCAGATGACACCCATAAGACCTATGTGTGTCTTCATGCATACAGATTTTCTGTATGGGGGAAAAATTAGTCAGGCACCCAACTGATCCCACAAACCCATCTGTAACTGTCTCTATTATTATGTACCATGTCCCTTCCAAGTTAAGACTGAAATCCAGAAGTAAATTGCAACTAGAGTAGGCCCGCTGAATCAATTGAACTTATGGAGGAGTTGACTGAGTAAATCACTTATGAAATTGGCCTCCTTCAGGTATGACTTACTAATGGATTTTAACCATGGTGTTGCTAAAAAAAAATTAAAAATATGTGAGATGTTCAAAGAGTGGGATTGGGCTAGGGCACCTCCCTCATGAGGAAAGGCTACAGCGTTTGGGGCTGTTTAGTCTAGAGAAAAGGTGCCTGAGTGGGGACATGAGTGAGACATATAAAATTATGCAGGGGGTGGATAAAGTGGACAGAGTGAAGTTCTTTTCCCTCTCAACCAATACCAGAACCAGGGGACATGCCCTCCAATGGAGTGTGCAGAGAATAAGAATAGACAAAATAAAAATATTTCTTTATCCAATGTCTTGTTAGTCTGTGGAACTCCTTGCCACAGGATGTGGTGATGGCATCTGGCCTAAATGCCATGAAAAGGGAATTGGACAGATTTCTGGAGGAAAAGTCCATTGAAGGTTAAAAGCCACAAAGGAGATGTATAATCTCCAGACTTAAAAGGAAGGGACCTCCAAATGCCAGATGCAGGGGAGGGGTATCAGGAGACAGGTATCTAGTTTTCTCCTGTGCTCCCAGAGGCATCTGGTGGAACCACCGTGAGATACAGGAAGGTGGACTAGATGGGCCCTTGGCCTGATCCAGCAGGGCTCTTCTTATGTTCACCATTGCCAACCCCAGTGAGTTTCTGTGAACTAAAGAAATTTGAACCTAGGTCTCCTTGTCCTATTCTGACACTCTGTCCAATAAATGACACTGACTCCAGTCTTTTGTAATGCTTAGATCCCTCTACACATTAATTCTTAACAAACAAACTCAATTTGATGTATACTTTAATTTAACAGGTAAACTTCTAGACCCACAAAATTATGCTGCATTACAAAAAATTGATGATCCTTCAGAGATCTGCCCATTTGAGGATATGGCAGTTACACATGTCCCTCGCAAGAAATTTGTAAGTACTGTATCATCCTTCTGGAAATATTCAGCTTTGACGGCCTTTGGACAGAAAGAATGGCTGAGGGGGGAAGATGTATATCTGAAAATACACATGTCAACAAACTCAGGACACCTGAACACACTTGGGAGGGAAGGAAAATATGAGCTTGTATTTCACAAATCTTTAAAGCTGATTTTCTATTCATTGGATTCTGAAAAATAGATTATTTCAGCTTTCAAATTTTGGGGGTGGGGGAAGGCATAACCCCCCATCCTGATATCAGTGGTGCCCCAGCCTCAATAGGATGGAATGTTTATACTAGATCAGTGGTTCCCAGCCTTGGGTCCCCAGATATTCTTGAACTACACTCCAAGAAGCCTTCACTACTGTGTTGGTCAGGATTTCTGGGAACTGTAGTTCGGGTACATGGTTGGGAACCTTTGTAGTAGATGATGAAAGCAAATGAATTTTCCAGACACACAAAGAGTTTGCAATCAGATTGGCCAATGTGACAATCTAGTGCTAGCATGCTAAGCATGTTGGGAATTTTGGATGCTATAGTCATAAATGGTAACTTTTCTATGTTATGTGCAAGAATTGCTTCTGTTAGTGCCAGTAATTTAAATAAAGGCTGGAAATGAAGATGTAGTGGAGGAGAGGTGATTACACCAAAGGCATAATTTTCCAGCTATTGTGGTGTCATGCTGAAAAATTACTTTTAACTAGGAAAGGAGATGTGAAAAGAATTAGCCCTTCAATCTTTTAATCTGTAACATGTCTCACATACTATATAACTTTGCCTGCTTACCTTGCACTTTTATCTAAAATAATTCTGCTACCTCAGCCAGTATGACGACAGCTGGAAACTTATGCCATCATCCCCTCCCCTCCCTCTGTTGCTTTCATTCTGCTGTGTACAGTAGCATTAGTGATAGAGGCACTGCGGCCTGATTTTTGTGGTGTGTTAGTTGGCAACCCCTGCCCAATATGCTGATGAAGTGAGAACAGAGGCTAAGTGAACAATTATATTAAGATGCATGGGTTGGGTATTACAGTATTACTGCTGAGTATTTTACAGTATGCAGGCCTGTAAGGAGTTCCTGTGGCAATGAAACATGGTCACCACCGTTCAGTTGGTGGTAGAATTCCATATGGTCTCCAAATACATTGTGTTTATTGAAACAGCCTTGTGTTGTTTTTCTCCCCACCCCAGGCCAAAGTCTGCTCCCAGCTTCTAAACCTTGTGTCTCCATCTTGCAATATCTCGAGGAAAGGGTTTGTCATCCGTTGCCAGCTTGACATGCAAGCCTGCAGTGATCCAGGACAGAGGAACTGTACTTGTGCTACCCTTTCAGAATACTCCAGGCAGTGCACTATGTCCCACCAGGAGGTGTCCGATTGGAGGAGTGATGATTTCTGCTGTAAGTTGCACGACTATACCTGTTGAGCATCAGCTATGCAACCATGAAGCCCAGCTTCAGTATTCTGAAATGGATTATGGTAAAATGCTTAGTGGCTTAGGTCTCTGGCTGGACTCAATGATCCATAGGATCCCTTCCAGCTCAGCAGTTCTATGATGATGACGATATAAATAATTCACTGATGTGTATTGAAAAGGGGATACCAGTGATAACATGAGGCAACTGTGCCTCCCTATCAATAGTTTTCCTGCTCCAACCTGCTGCTGCTGTCCTTATCCAATCTGTAATTATAATCAAACCAATTTAGACATTTGGCATCCTTTTTCAGGGTTTTCCAGATAGAGAATACTCAGAAGTGGTTTAGCCTTCCTTTCTTCTGGGAGCGCCCTGGGAATGTGCAGCTTGCCCAAGGCCCCACAGGCTGACTCTACTCACAATTGAACTCCCAACCTCAGACTCTGCAGCCTAAAACTCTGAGCTATCCAGCCAGCTGTGTTCAATCTATAGGTATTCTCCATTGCTGTTCTCCATTCTCCACCTTCTTGCTATATGTCTTCTCTTCCCATCTGCCCCCACTTGTGTTAGCATTCATAGCTACCAGAGGCGGCTTCCACAGTGGAAGGGGTCAGCCTGCTCCAGTCATGAACCATGTATAGTCAAAACCAAATGGTGCCCTATCTTCGTTGTCAATATAAATCAAAGATGGGCAGTTTTTATAATCTCAGGAATTACATTTTTCTCCACAGAATAGTCCCAGTGTCAGAAGTATATTTTGCACACGAACAGAAATATCCAGAAACATTGAAGCTCCATAATGCTTACTACTGCCTAGTAAGGCAGAAAGGTGAAAAATAGGGCAGGATTTCTGTGCCTTCAATAACTGTGCCATTAGAATAAGAGATTTGAGGAGGTTCCATTTTCTGAAATTCTTTCTTGTGCAAAACTAGTAAGGATGCAGGCACTTGATCATCCTCTTTTCTGCCACAGGTATGTAGCTTTGTGCATTTTTAATTACCATTTCCAAAATTCCCCAGACAACTATACTATTTTCCACTCCCATTATAGAAGGGACTTGCTCAGGCATTGCATCATATGAAAAGATGTTACCTGCAGCTCTTTAATGCAGCTTACATAGAAGTTACCTATAAACCTTATTTAGGCATTCTGGCCAAATGTATATGAGCTTAATGGGAATAGCAAAGGGGCTCACATATTGCCACCCTAATCTTCTTACAGGAATCTGTTCCATTTTAGATATTTGTGTGTTCACTATGAACCACTGAAGGAGTTTTAAAAGTATCCAAGCCTGCTGGGGGCATAACTGTCCCTTCTCTAGATGAAGCCATCACACATTTGCTCAAAACATCTGAACAGGACTAGTGACGTCACAGGAATGATCCAAATTAAAGTGTTGACTGCCTTGGCTTCCTTTCCAGCCACTGTGTCATGTTTCTCCCTTTCTTAGTGGTGCAAGAGTTCTTTGCACTAAGAAAGTTCTTTCTCACACCCCTTGTTGTTCCCCTCAGTCCACTATTTGGAAGGTCCAGCATGGCAGGAAGAATCTTCCTGTTTGATCCAATCACTCATCAGAGGTCACCAGGAGAGTCCCACCTACCTATCTTTCCAGTCAGGAATGGAAGTGGGCCGTGGAAAGTTTTAAAAACTCGTGTCTGGGCCAGGATGCAAACGGCAGCAATATCTGGATACAGGACTAGTGCCATCAGAGCAAAATGGTCAGTCTCTCCTCATCAGGCAGCCTGAGGACATCACATTGGCCTATTTCTTTCCACTGGGCAAGACCATGAGGTCACAGAAGACAGTTTCTGTTTATGAGGCAACCAGCAGTGACCAGGTCACAATGGCCAGTCTGTCTTCATCAGGATGACAGCACCAGTGTGGGGACAGTATGGACCATCAGGCAGGCAGGCAGGCAGCAGAGGCACAAAACTCAATCTGTCTATGACTGAAGCAGACAGCTGCAACAGCAATATGGGCACAGTGTTGCTCTCTTACAGACACACACACACACACACTGGGAAAGAAAGGCAACAGAAACAAAACCATGTGAGCATAGTTGCCTTCTCACTAAGATGATCAGAACATGCAAGAAGATGTGGACATTTTCCCGTCAAGTTGTTGAGGCAGCAAGCACTGAGCCTCTTGGCACAGTGGTTAAACCGCTGTACTGCAGCCAAAACTGTGCTCACAACCTGGGGTTCAATCCCAGGTAGCCGGCTCCAGGTTGACTCAGCCTTCTATCCTTCCGAGGTCGGTACAATGAGTACCCAGCTTGCTGGGGGGGGGCAATGTGTAGCCTGCATAATTAACTTGTAAACCGCCCAGAGAGTGCTTGAAGTACTATGGGGTGGTATTTAAGCAGCACGCTTTGCTTTTTGCTTTGCTTTGCTTTGCATCACAGTGGCCATCTCTCTGCATCCATAAAACTGGATAGATCCATGTGTAGGCTGTGAACCTGGAGATGTCGTTAGCAGGCATCAAGTCTATTATAGGGCATTTTACAGAAAGTATCTCAGTGGCAGGATGGCATAGATTGCAGGATCCAGTTCTGACCTGTTTCCCCTTTCCAAATTTGGTGACAACATTGCCACGTACCTAACACAATTCACAGGCTTACAGTCTTCTAAACACAAAATCAAAAGTACCTTATGGTATTGTGGCAGCTACTTTGAAAACTGGCTTATAAAAGGGCATGCTGATCACAGGGATATCACAAGTGGGTTAAATTAGCTTAATTTGTACTTGTTAATACATGAGCATGGCTATGTTAATTTAATCTTCATGAAAGGGAGAGCTTTCATGAAGGGAAAAGGAACAATTAACCCCCCTGTTTTTAATACTTCTGTAATGTGTTGCTTTCCCAACTTTCATAATTTCTTAAACTGGTTGACTAATTGGTTGATTGCTTTGAGAAATGTACATACTAACTTTCTCCATTCTAATCTTCTTTGGTATCCCTCATTTTATCCTAGATCCCATCTTTTTTTTGTCTGAACTTCTGTTGCTCTGTGTTGTTGGCCCTTTTTCAGTTTTCATGTTCTGCTGTTTCATCTTATCCATCCAAGACTATGCTTTTCTCAGTCAACAAAACATTGTATGCATTTTCTTCATGGTTTTATGTTGTTGCCTCAGCTTTTCATATCTTTCTTCAAATACCATTTCCTCAGCTATTTCCTGTTTCTCATCCTTTCCACTGCAGGCAATTTTCAAATTGGGCTTCTTGTCTTTTTAGATTTGAACAGAGACAACAGAGAGACTTTTTATATATTTCAGTGGAAACTAGGCTTTTGTTGCACATCAATACTGAGAGCTTTTATTAGTAGTAGTATAGTCATTTTATAGATATATCGAGCTAACTGCTGAAAAATCCTTATATGTTGCAAAACTGATGATTCCAAGAGATACTGGATTATTTTGTTGTTGTTTAGTCATTAAGTCGTGTCCGACTCTTCATGACTCCATGGACCAGAGGACGCCAGGCCCTCCTGTCTTCCACTGCCTCCCTGAGTTAGGTCAAATTCATGTTCAATGACACTGTCCACCTTTTATTTCTGTCCATGGAGTTCTATTGGCAAAGATACTGGAGTGGCTTGCCAGTTCCTGCTCCATGTGGATCGCGTTTAGTCAGAACTCTCCACTATGACCTGTCCATCTTGGGTGTCCCTGTGTGGCATAATAACCATAGCTTCTCTGAATTCCTCAAGCCCCTTCACCATGACAAGGCAGCAATCCATGAAGAGGACTGGATTATTTAGGAGGGGCTATGTATATTTTTTTTTCCCTCATAGTCTTTATAGAATTCATAGTAATGTAATCTATGAATCTACTGAGTTTTAAAATCTAGATGAATCTAGATCAGATATTGAAAAAAAGACACATTTTACAATTAAAATAGGAAAAGAAACATAAACCTAAATTATTTTTAAAACCTGGAGGATAGAAATGGCTGCTGATTTTGAACATATGGTCTACAAATGGTCTGCACAAGAAGCACCAAAACATCAAGCTCAGCTTGGCGCCTTCTTCAGTGTGCTGCCCAAGCCAAGCCCCTAGGGTTGGTCCCATATTTCAGTAGTCAACAGAATGCAGAAAAACAGATCAATCCCAGGTCTTCTTGATATTACTAAACATGACTGTGATTTAATCAGATTTGAAATGTGTTCAGTTCATTGTGATCTAATCCTAAGAAGCCAAGTCCCACAGCTCTGTGAAAGAACAAGAGCTTTGACAGGCATGTGAAGCTTCTACATGAACAACGGCTCTTCCATATTGTACTTCAAGCCCAGTGTTTCCTTTTCCCCCCCATAACAATGATGCACACCTCTTTCTACTGCTGTGTTTTTCAGCCCTGGGGAAGTGTCAAGCAAATCAAATGTACAAAGAGTGTGGTTCTCCCTGCCTCAGAACATGTTCCAATCCAGAATACACTTGCTCCAGCTACTGTACATATGGCTGCTTCTGCCCAGAAGGTAAATACAAACAGCAGGCATACAGTCTCATTGCCAAGAATAAATTGTTCTGCCAACTGTTTGAAATACATTCCTGTTACCAAACACTTTTTAAGCAAACCACTGAAATGGACCAAGGGTGTGTTTGATGCAAAGCTTGGAAATAACTAGTTACAAATCATTTATTACCTGTAATTAGTTCCTTTTGGCATTATTTTGCATCAGAATTGTGTGATTTGCAATGTAACGAGGGATGATTTGACTCCTTTCACGAATAAAAAAAAATAGGATGCCACTTCAGTTCCATAAATCAAATGATAATTTGTGGTTCTAAAATTGAACAAGGCTCTTAGGAGATGGGGTTTAGCCATGATAAACAAGCAATTTTCAAAGAAGTAGCCAAGTTAGTTTGTTTTAGCATGTGTAGAAAAATAAAAGAAAACCCAAAGTCTGACTTATGGCATCTTTTAGACTAACTGATTAACTCCAGTACTTTAATAGATTACAAGCCACATCTAAGACTCATAGAGTAACTGTTATATTCCCTGTGTCTGATGGATTTTAATTCAGAAAATCTCAAACAGCAATAAATCTATTTGTTTTAAACTTTTAATTTGTCACAAGGCTTTGGTTTTATTGTGTTTTTATTTTCTGATATGTGCCAAGTAAGCAATGTACAGCTCACATATTTGGCTTATCATTTATTCTTTTTTTATCTTAGTCAAAATGACCATATGTGCCTAATGGATAATCATGACATTAAAAAATGATCATATCTCTTTCTATTGATTCAAACACATGCACGATATTGGTCCGTAACATCAAGCATGCCTATGTGAACTGCCTTTCCCTTATGTTTTCTCCAGAAAAAGAGTATGTGTTGAAAACACCCAAGCTTCATGTTCTGTGCATTCAGTTTTAATTAAAACAGCCTTTTATTTGCTTTCCCATGCTTGCTCATCTCGACAGGTACGGTATTGGATGACATTTCAAGAAACCGCACATGCGTTCCTATAGAACAATGCCCATGCACACTGAATGGGGAGAGATATGCTCCTGGTGATGTCATGAAAGCAGCTTGTAGAACCTGGTGAGTCCTGGGATGCTCCAGCTCAGGATGAGATGCAAGCGATTGTAAAGATAGTTAAGAAACTTAGCACTATTCTGATGGAGATCTGAATTTGCTCCAAGTGGCAAGCATGTCTGCTAAGTGAATACCACTTAAAACTCCATGATGTTCTTCACAGGCTCAGTTTCATCCATGAAGCAAAGGATCCTTTCTATTCATAGTTGCCTAACTAGTAGGATCCAGACTACCCAGAAGTAGTCACTGTGTTTTCAAACTTCATATGTGAAATCCCAGCATGATAGTATGGAAAGTCTCACTCTAGCCAAGACATTGGTCACTTGGTGGGAGCTGGCAAGTGCTCCAGAAAGTTGGAGATGACCAAGAATGGAAAAAGAAGTTGGGTACATGGTTTCTGAAGTAGCAACAGCAACTTCAGGTTGGGGACTAATTGGGGCTATTAGCCTGAGAAGACTATGGCATCCCTTTGGACAGGTTTTCTGGCCATTTCAAGAAATATTGGCCAGTATCATGCTGCATTATGCAATTGTGAAAAGGTGGTCTTGAAAGCAACCCTGTTCCTCTGGCAGGCTCCACTTTGTGTATTCATTAGAGATGTAACTAGCAATGTTGGCACCCAGGTCAATTAACACTGTGACCCACACATGGGTACCAGCCATCCCCCACCCTAGAAAAAGGAGGAAGAGGAGGATATGGTGCCTTTCCACAAAAAGAGAAAGTATGTGCTTCCCTACCCCGCAAAAGAAAAGTAAATGGGTCCAGGAGGTGTCACTGTTTATTTTCCTAATATTCATCAGAAGATTCAGTTTAAGATTTCAATGCCTTCTAAATTTTCTTACCTGGGGGCAAGGTCCTGGTGCTCTTTATAACATTTGTTATGAGACTAGTGTGCAATCAGTTGCACAACTGGTTATGTAGTTATGCTTTATGTAATTCTCGTTACACCCTAAATAGAATACTGACCATTCTTGCTTGTATAATAGAAGGGTAATGTGATGAAACACCCATGATAACAGAAAAACAGAGAGATGCACATAGATCCAGATATGGCATTTATTTCCGTTGTTGCCGAAATCTACTTAATCGTTTCCATCTGTAAAGCTTATTTATTTCAAAGGGATGTTGTAAAGAGTGAGAGGGAAACAAGACTGCCTTGAAGTATAAAAATGATTATGGTGAATCTACTGTGCTGGTAAACAGCTGATGTCCACATTTCTTTTCATTAGTAAATGTTCCATGGGCCAGTGGAGCTGTACAGAACTACCATGTCCTGGCAGATGTTCACTGGAAGGAGGTTCATTTGTCACCACTTTTGATTCGAGGTCATACCGCTTCCATGGAGTTTGCACCTACGTTCTTATGAAGGTATTCTATGTAATAAAGATGAGCATTATCAGGTTATATAAACAATGTTTAGGTGCAGAGCAAAACACGCAAAATACCATTGCAACAAACTTGTGCATAAAGGTATAGCTAGTCTCCAGCTTCATGTGGAGTGCAATTTGAGTTTTCTAATGAAACCCAGACGTTTGGTGCAGCATGTAAATATTATTCAGTGATTTTAAAAGGGTGTGAAAAAATGTGGGGTTCTCCCCCACCTCTCAGAAACCTTATATTATTTTGCTTTTGTTTCCCTTCTAGAGTCCCATGTTACCTCACAATGGAACTTTGATGGCTGTGTTTGAAAAGTCGGGTTATACAAGCTCAGAGACATCACTGACAGCTATCATTTATGTCTCAGGAAAAGTAAGTGTCGCTTAGAAACACTGTAAAATTAGTTGCCTTTTAGCCTTATATGAAACATCTTCAGAGGCCAGTCTCTGAGCATGGGACAGACGGAGAGATGAGAAAGAGACCTCGATGCATGTCTTCTGAAAGCCAGAGACCAAGGTCACAGTCCATCAAACCACTCATGTAACAGAGACAGCTCATGCAATTTGACTTTTGCAGAGGGATATGGCACCACCGTGTGCAAGCTGGCTACTTGTAGCTGAGATCTCTGCTTCTGCAAGGACAGCACTTGCCTAAGGCAGTATTTTTGTTACTGCATTGGTAGGGTTTCATACTCCACTGGTGTCAGCAAGAATCCAGCCACTGTCCTTGACTCCATAGGCAATACAATTGTAACATTCTCAGTTTTCTTGTGCGTAAATATAGAATATTCAATGCTTACGGCAGATGCTATTTTTTGTACGTTGGTCTTTGATAAATAAATTTATTTATTTATTTATTTATTTACTTATTTATTTATTGCATTTATATGCCGCCCATCTAGACATATACAGTGGTGCCCCGCATAGCAACGTTAATCCGTTCCAGGATTAATGTCGCTATACAGAAACATCGCTGAACGTAACAAAAAACCCCATAGGAACAAATTAAACCCTGTTTAATTCGTTCCTATGGGGCAAAAACTCACCGTTCAGCGAAGATCCTCCATAGGGCTGCCATTT